TAGTCTAACTATACAACAGAATCTCTCTATAGTCTAACTATACAACAGAATCTCTCTATAATCTAACTATACAACAGAATCTCTCTATAGTCTAACTATACAACAGAATCTCTCTATAATCTAACTATACAACAGAATCTCTCTATAATCTAACTATACAACAGAATCTCTCTATAATCTAACTAGACAACAGAATCTCTCTATAATCTAACTATACAACAGAATCTCTCTATAATCTAACTATACAACAGAATCTCTCTATAATCTAACTAGACAACAGAATCTCTCTATAATCTAACTAGACAACAGAATCTCTCTATAATCTAACTATACAACAGAATCTCTCTATAATCTAACTATACAACAGAATCTCTCTATAGTCTAACTATACAACAGAATCTCTCTATAGTCTAACTATACAACAGAATCTCTCTATAATCTAACTATACAACAGAATCTCTCTATAGTCTAACTATACAACAGAATCTCTCTATAATCTAACTATACAACAGAATCTCTCTATAATCTAACTATACAACAGAATCTCTCTATAATCTAACTAGACAACAGAATCTCTCTATAATCTAACTATACAACAGAATCTCTCTATAATCTAACTATACAACAGAATCTCTCTATAATCTAACTATACAACAGAATCTCTCTATAATCTAATAAATCTATAAAACTAAGTAATAATTCATTAAACTAAGTAATAATTCATTAAACTAAGTAATAATTCATTAAACTAAGTAATCATTCATTAAACTAAGTAATAATTCATTAAACTAAGTAATAATTCATTAAACTAAGTAATCATTCATTAAACTAAGTAATAATTCATTAAACTAAGTAATCATTCATTAAACTAAGTAATCATTCATTAAACTAAGTAATAATTCATTAAACTAAGTAATAATTCATTATACTAAATAATCATTCATTAAACTAAGTAATCATTCATTAAACTAAGTAATAATTTATTAAACTAAGTAATAATTCATTAAACTAAGTAATAATTCATTAAACTAAGTAATAATTCATTAAACTAAGTAATAATTTATTAAACTAAGTAAAAATTCATTAAACTAAGTAATAATTCATTAAACTAAGTAATAATTCATTAAACTAAGTAATAATTTATTAAACTAAGTAATAATTCATTAAACTAAGTAATAATTCATTAAACTAAGTATTAATTCATTAAACTAAGTAATAATTCATTAAACTAAGTAATAATTCATTAAACTAAGTAATAATTCATTAAACTAAGTAATTTTGAAACATGTTTAGAAGTGTAATTCAATAATTATTTAGTTAAATAGATATATCATGTTATATAGAGATTCTATTGTTTAGTTATGACACCTGGTAAGTCTAACTGATAAATATATACTCTTATTGACCAAGTTTGAGATTTCAAATTGTTCATTCTAAGAGGTAGTATAACTTTAATGCTCTTTTTTTAATCTAGAAACTAAAATAATCATATTGTTACTCAGACAACTGTTTCAACCTATTTTTTAAACTGTTGTTTTTATACTGTTTTATTATAACTATGTCAAATTAGATATAATATAAACTTTCTGTCTTTATTTCAGAATGAAATATGAAGAGAGAGGTACAAAATTACGTGATAACAGTTTCTTCCCTAAAACACTGGAGGTAAATACTGATATAATATTCTCTCAATCTAATAGGCTTCCCTAGCTTAATGGAATGGTAGTGTTTGTAGAGGAATTTCTCTTCCCTCGTGGGCATGAACTATCTTACTTGCTCGATTGCTAGTGATATTGAACGGGAAAATAAATGGTGCTAGGCCTGTATTATGCTGAATATTCAATAACAATGGTATTATTTGATAACAATGGTATTATTTGTTGTTGATATCAATGGTATTATTTGATAACAATGGTATTATTTGATAACCATGTTATTATTTGATAACCATGTTATTATTTGATAACCATGTTATTATTTGATAACAATGGTATTATTTGATAACTATGGTATTATTTGATAACAATGGTATTATTTGATAACAATGGTATTATTCAATAACAATGGTATTTTCTGATAACAATGGTACTATTTGATATCTATGGTATTATTTGATAACAATGGTATTATTTGATAACAAGGGTATTATTTGATAACAATGGTATTATTTGATAACAAGGGTATTACTTGATAACTATGGTATTACTTGATAACTATGGTATTATTTGATAACTATGGTATTATTTGATAACTATGGTATTATTTGACAACAATGGTATTATTTGATAACAATGGTATTATTTGATAACAATGGTATTATTTGATAACAAGGGTATTACTTGATAACAAGGGTATTACTTGATAACAATGGTACTATTTGATAACTATGGTATTATTTGATAACAATGGTATTATTTGATAACTATGGTATTATTTGATAACAAGGGTATTACTTGATAACAAGGGTATTACTTGATAACAATGGTACTATTTGATAACTATGGTATTATTTGATAACAATGGTATTATTTGATAACTATGGTATTATTTGATAACAATGGTATTATTTGATAACAATGGTACTATTTGATAACAATGGTATTATTTGATAACAATGGTATTATTTGATAACAATGGTATTAATTGATAACAATGGTATTATTTGATAACAATGGTATTAATTGATAACAATAGTATTATTTGATAACAATAGTATTACTTGATAACAATGTTATTATTTGATAACAATGTTATTATTTGATAACAATGGTATTATTGTATATTTTAGATTCACTGGCTGTCTATTATCAACTCGATGGTTTTAGTTTTTCTACTCATTGGTTTTGTTGTTATTATCATGGTAAGCTTTATTTTGTGTATGAAAACTCACAAATTGTATTCACTTATATACCAACAAATATACAAACAACATCCCTCCAATCTTACTGATATCTTTCATCTGTATTACAAGTACCCCCTTCCACATCTCAACACCATTGTATCAGATACACACAAATCATTAAAAATTATATTATATTAATATCCCTCCAATCTTACTCATATCTTTCATCTGTATTACAAGTACCCCCTTCCACATCTCAACACCATTGTATCAGATACACACAAATCATTAAAAATTATATTATATTAATATCCCTCCAATCTTACTCATATCTTTCATCTGTATTACAAATACCCCCTTCCACATCTCAACACCATTGTATCAGATACACACAAATCATTAAAAATTATATTATATTAATATCCCTCCAATCTTACTCATATCTTTCATCTGTATTACAAGTACCCCCTTCCACATCTCAACACCATTGTATCAGATACACACAAATCATTAATAATTATATTATATTAATATCCCTCCAATCTTACTCATATCTTTCATCTGTATTACAAATACCCCCTTCCACATCTCAACACCATTGTATCAGATACACACAAATCATTAAAAATTATATTATATTAATATCCCTCCAATCTTACTCATATCTTTCATCTGTATTACAAGTACCCCCTTCCACATCTCAACACCATTGTATCAGATACACACAAATCATTAAAAATTATATTATATTAATATCCCTCCAATCTTACTCATATCTTTCATCTGTATTACAAGTACCCCCTTCCACATCTCAACACCATTGTATCAGATACACACAAATCATTAAAAATTATATTATATTAATATCCCTCTAATCTTACTGATATCTTTCATCTGTATTACAAGTACCCCCTTCCACATCTCAACACCATTGTATCAGATATACACAAATCATTAAAAATTATATTATATTAATATCCCTCCAATCTTACTGATATCTTTCATCTGTATTACAAGTACCCCCTTCCACATCTCAACACCATTGTATCAGATACACACAAATCATTAAAAATTATATTATATTAATATCCCTCCAATCTTACTGATATCTTTCATCTGTATTACAAGTACCCCCTTCCACATCTCAACACCATTGTATCAGATACACACAAATCATTAAAAATTATATTATATTAATATCCCTCCAATCTTACT